TGATTCGTGCGGAACTTCAGGCAACAGCGCCCGATGCTCTCGCACGCTATGAACAGAAGTTGAAAGGCAAGCCGGCATCTTCGGCTCCACGACGCACACGCGCCCAAGTACCGCCTTCAGATCGGCAGCTTCGCCCCGGACCGGCTTGACTTCATAAGGAGGGGGGGGTGTTACATGATGCGCCTGCACACGGGCCCCATTTGAGGGGCTCGACGGTTGTTGAGGGGCCCCCAGGCCGCGTACCATCCAGCACGCGCCCTGGAGGCCCACGGCGGCCCTCGAGGCCCTAGGCAGCACACTAGGTAGATAGGTTTATTTTACTTAACCTTTTTTTTGTGTGTGTGCTGTCTTATTTTTGTCTGTTCAGGTGCCGTTTCGGACTGGCAGCCCCAAGGCCGGACCTTGGGACTGGGTACACCGGAGGCAGGCCCGAAACGAGGCCAGGCGCATTTTGGCGCCAAACCGGTAGGTACAGGCGTCGTTTCGGCCCTGCAGGACCCAAGACGGCACATTGGGCCAGGTGCACCGGTAGGGGGCCGTTTTTAGGCCAGGTGCATTTCTGCGCCATACTGCATCAGCAGTAGGGTCTGGATGTCCGGTAGGGACCCAGACCACCTGGGCCGTTTTCTGAGGCCAGCACCAGGTAGGCCCAGCTGCAATCAGACTTGTCTCATTCACACTTTTCATGCATGTAAACAGCAGTGCAGCACCACACAAACTCAGAGATATGGCTTCCAGGTACGAGTTCACTTTCAACTGGCTATGGCGACTCAGCGCCCAAACAACTCACTGTTCACACACCGGATCACCCTAGATATCCCACACGCTTCGCTCTGAACACTCACACATACGCATTCACACTTCACACTAACTACAGCTATGGCAGCTATGGCTGCCTCTACCCTATCGCTACACTAAGCTCCTTCTCTCTCGCCCACTGCGTCCTCCGGGCTCACTGCAGACCTCCTTGCACAAGTCGTTGTGGCAGCGCTTCCGCATGGCTCACGCAGGAATCTCTCAATGGCTGGGCGCTGCCTCTTGATTTATACTTCTGCAGGTCGTTGGTTTGGCCCATTTCCCTTGCCCGAAGTGCACACAGTCCCGTGCGGTACTTGCTGGACTGACTAGGGACTGGGACTGTTGACTCAGCAGGGTAGACTTCCCCCACTTGCCCACTTGCCCCACCACGTGACCACTTGCCTCTGCTCAAACGTGGGCAACTGACGAAAGGCCACTACTGGGACCTTCTGGAAGGCCGTAGACTTGGCCTTTCGTGACTGTAGCAGCTACGACTCTGACCCTTCTGGACTGTAGCAGCTACAACCTTGACCTTTCGAGAACACTACAGCTACGATGTCTAGACCTGACTAAGACTCNAGCAGCTACGACTCTGACCCTTCTGGACTGTAGCAGCTACAACCTTGACCTTTCGAGAACACTACAGCTACGATGTCTAGACCTGACTAAGACTCCTATCCGACAGGTCTACAGATCGAACCCATGCTACCTATCGACCCTACGACAACCTATCAGCTATTACAAAAACACAGGTCGCGGGTTCAACTCTACGGGTCGACACAGGTGCTGTACACAGGTAAGGTTGGGGTCTAGGAGTCGAACCCTGGGATCTGCAGCAGCTACTGCTAACTGGTGAATACCGTTTCACTCCCGCTGTCCTAAATTCGAGGTCCTCCGAGAATAATTCAGTCCAAGGCAGGACCTTTACCTTTCTGTTCTCTTTCGTAGGCTCTGACTATATCGGGAGCTGTCTCTAGAAGTTCTGACCTTGTAAACCAGCGGTCATCCTCCGGTTCCTTATATGCAAACCGGACCTTGTACTGTTTCTGTGGACGACCTCTACCTCCTGTCCTAAACACATCCTCATCTACAATGCCTTCTATGTCATAGGTCCCATCCATATCCAGAGGGATCATGGATCTTCTCGAAGGGAACTGTTGGCTTGTAACACATGGCAACAACTTTGAAGCATGGAATACTGGATATGTGTGGAGGTGTACTGGGATCTCTATGGTGTATGATGGTCCATCCTCTCCGCCCTCGACTTCTAGAACCGGCCACGGTCCTCTATATGCAGGCAGTAACTTCTACGAGATGTTTTCTTCAGGCGCAAACTCTTTTGCCTTTACCCAGACTAAGTCGCCTACTTGAAACTGTGATGGGCAACGGTGCTTGTTAGCCTGTTCTATCATCCTTTGCTGGGCCTTTCTAAGGTTCTCAACAACAGTTGCTAATTCTTTCTTGTGCTGTATCGCACTAGTACCGGGCAGTAGTCTGTGAATCTGATTCCGGTTCAGTCCTTCGAACGGTCTGCGTGGTCTAAAGGACTTGTGCAGCTCATTGGGAGTGCGGCAGGTCGATAGATGCACGCTGTTGTTGTATGCACTAGCTACCTTAGGCAACATCTCATCCCAGTTGACCTGATCTGGTCTAATGTACATGCACAAAACTTGTTGTAGGATCTTGTTCATCTGTTCTGTCTGACCGTTTGTCTCTGGATGACGGCCAGATGACATCAACAACTTAGATCCGTACACTCTCATGAGTTTTTGCCAATTCTGGCTGGTGAAGCGACTATCTCTATCGCTGACTATTGACAATGGGATTCCGTTCTCACTAATCCAAAGTCAAAGAACTTTTGTATCACTAAGTCTGTACGTGCCTCTGCAGGCAAAGGAACAAAAACTGCATACTTACTAAACCGGTCGACTATGACCATGACCTGGCTTTTACCATGCCGGCTCTTGACTTGGGTGTCCATGAAGTCTATGGACACTGAGTCTCCCGGCTGATCCGGAATAGGCAAGGGTCTGAGAAGACCAAGGGGTGCACGCGTAGTAGTCTTATTACGCTGGTAGACTTTGCAACTGCGGATATACTCTATGCAGTCATTCTTCATTCCTGGCCAGGTATACGCACGCATTAAGTTGGCTAATGTCTTTTGCCAGCCGAAATGTCCCTCAGTATCGTGGCATTCCCCTAGGATCAAACTATGGATCTCTTCGCTGTTGGGAACGCACAGACGGTCGAATACGTTAGTCTTCTCAAACAACAATCCGTCCGTAGTGCGGTAATCTGGCTCAGTCTCTGGGGCCTCTCTGACTCTCTTTAGGAGGTCGCTATAGATAGGGTCCTGCGCATACGCTTGCTTCACTTTCTCCTGCAGGTTTCTCCCTATATCCAGATAGTGTACTATGGCTCCAAAGTAGTCCGATCTCCTACTCAGAGCGTCCGTAACTACGTTGTATTTGCCCTTTACTGGCTTAAGCTCAAAGTCATATTGGTCGATCTCTGCGGCCCACCTAGTTAGCTTAGGTGTCATCTTGGCCTGAATCTTTAACCAACGAAGTGTCTCATGATCAGAATACACTTTGAAGTGCCTCCCAAGCAGGTAATGCTTCCAGTGCTCTAAAGCCTGCCTGAGGGCGTAGAGTTCTCTCTCGTACGTCGAGGTATCAACCTTCTCTGAGGGCATCCTCGCTGACATGAACTCTACTAGTCTGTAGCCATTGCCGTCGTCTTGCTGCAACACGGCGCTTATCCCGTACTGACTTGCGTCCGTGGTGACGACAAATGGCAAAGACGGATCAACTACTTTGAGGACAGGGTACTCTATTAACGCGTGCTTCAATCTCTTTAGTGCAGACGTACAGTATTTGTCCCATTGCTAGATTGCCTCTTTCTTAAGCAACCTGCGCAAGGGAGCGGCGATAGTGGAGAAGTTCCTTACGAACTTTCTGTGGTAGTTAGCTAGGCCTAGGAACGACCGCAACTCTGTCAATGTGCGGGGCGTCGGCCAGTCTCTAATCGCCGCGATCTTGCTGTCCTCTGGCTTAATGCCGTCTCCATCTAATACGTGGCCCAAGTACAAGACCTGTGTCTTGGCCCACTTGCACTTCTTCGCGTTGATCTTGAAGTTAGCCTCTCGTAGTTTCTCCAAGACCTGCCTCAGATGACCCTGATGCTCCTGGAGGGTCTTACTAAAAACTAGAATATCATCTAGATAAACTACTACAAACTTATCTAACCATGGTCTGAACAGATCATTCATACAACGCTGGAATGTAGTTGGCGCGTTGGTTAGTCCAAAGGGCATCACTATGAACTCATAATGCCCATATCTAGTCCAGAAGGCAGTCTTGTAATGATCATCAGGATGGACTTTTATCTGATGATAACCGGACTTCAAATCAATCTTAGTGAAATACTTACAACCCTGCACCCGATCTAGAAGATCGTCTATCCTGGGCAGTGGCTCAACATTCTTCACAATAATCGCGTTCAAACCCCTGTAGTCTATACACATTCTCAAATCTCCTTCCTTCTTGGGGACAAACAAAACAGGTGCTCCAAAAGGAGACGAACTGGGCCTGATCCAACCTTTTTCGAGGAACTCATCTAACTGCTTGCGAAGCTCCTCTACTCTCTAGGGGACATCCTGTAGACTGCACCCTTAGGAGTTCTACTGCCAGGCTCTATCTCTATCCTGTGCTGGATGGGTCGCGACACTACCCCTGTCGGCGACTCAGTCAAATCTTTGAACTCTTCCAGCAGCTTGGCTATGGTTGGATCTGTAGAATTGTCTTCTTTCTGGGCCTCAGTGACAGGTCTAACATAAACTACAAAGACCTCTTCTTCTAACCGCTCCTTCTTTACTAACCGCGCGAACGCGGGAGCACTGAGACAACAATGTGTCAAGGTGTTGTCTACACCAGACACATGAAACAGGCGGGCAGTCTTAACTTCGCCTGACGGGCTAGGGAACCTACACTCATGCTCTCTCAAATGAAGTGTGGCCCCTGCTGCCTCTCCCCAATCCATTCCTAACACCACATCAAAAGGAAGGTCATCCTGTACGAGGAGAGTCAGGGAATGGAGAACTTTCTCCACTTTCCCATCTCTCTCTAGGCAAAAGTACGCCTGGACTCCCTCTACGTAGTCCTCAACTCGCATTGTGCGGTTGTCTGCGAGGGCACTGACTATGGGGTCTGCTAACTGTTGGACTTTTAATCCTAACTTCAGCTTCTTCAACGCCCTGCGGTTAATATAACTACGGGTGGCCCCTGAGTCTATAAGGGCCCCTACTCTGCTTCTAAACACTTCTACATCTACCAAGATTAACAATCCTTTACTCTCTTTCTTCACCTTGGCCTAGGCAGGCATTTTCTCCTTTAACTCTTCTGCCACACCTGTGAGGGACGTGCCTAAAGAGACGCTAACACAGGCGGTCTCTGGACAGCTAGCTAGGCACGGGCCTGCAACCTCTGCCATAGGCTCATGTGGGTTGGGAGTGTCCTGTTCGCGCGTGCTCACTTCCCCACATGGCCTTGAAGTAGGGGCAGCTGCAACCCCTACTGGCGGCTGCCTTTTGACTGCTGGGCAGCCCAACGGGCCTGTCTATACTTAGGAAAATATTTGATAACGTGGGCCGGGTCACCACATAATACGCACTGACCCTGGTCCACGCGTTCCTGCCATAAACGCTGGTCCAAGCCCAAGTCTTCCCAAGGTCTGCCCTGTGGCAAGCCTGGGTGCCAACCTCCTTGAGGTGCCCTTCCACCTCGTCGCTATGGGGACCGATTACCCTGACGATTTGGCGGGGGACCTTGACCCCTACCTCCCGCTTGGCGGTTTCATTGGCCGCCAACCCCCTGTGCGCTCGGTCCTCGACCTCCCATGGCCTGGCCCCTTTGGCCCTGGCCTCCTCCTCTACCTTGCGGCCTCCCTCCAGCCGCGACAACAGCATAAGACCTCCCCCTGTCCTACACTACTATCCTCTTCCTCTAGGCCCCACTCAATCTGACTATATGGGACCTCATTGGTACCACCTTCCTCTAACATAAGGATCATGTGATCCTTGGCCTTGACTTGGCCATAGATGGTACGTCCTTTCCACCTTTTCCCTTTTTCCAGATCCTTATGCCAGAAAGTGGAAACTGGCATGGACTTTGACTCCAACAGGACCACTTCCCTACTCAACGCATCATAGGTGATGTCGGTCTGTTCAGTCTTATCAAAGAAGTGCCCGCTCAGGGGCTCTGGCATGGCACGATAAAACAATTGGACCAACTGGGTCTCAGTGACGCCATGGTCTGGGACGGCCACCAGGTCGTCCATGGTTCCCTTGAGTGCCCTTGCACTCCTCCACTGTCGTGAGTGGATTGTTTGTAGCTTGTCAGAGGCAAGAATGCCTCTCGTTGGGTCAGCAAATCGCTCCTTCAGGAGCTTGAGGATTTGAGAAAGGGGGGTGACTTTTGAATAGGCAACCAGGTTGTTTTCACAACCGGCTGCGCGCGCAAGGGACCTGGCGAAACTAGCCGCTTCGTCCTTGAGGGCCTGAAAGGCCACGAGGACTTGCTCCTCTGACAGGATACGCTGTAAATAGATATAACTGTTGACATTGGCTTCCCAGTTGTCAAAGTTTTCCTCCTTCTTCCCTCCATAAGCATCCGGGAATTTGAGCTTGACAGGGTCCTTGTGAGGTCTGGCCTCGCCCTCTACAGCGGCTATGGCTTTGGCACCTTCAATGAAGCCTTCGCAGTACTTCCCTACATTATCCCTCAATTGTCGGACTTCGCCCCCAATGTGGGTGACGATCTCGCGCGCAAACTCTCTAAAACCTGACTGCATGGCTTTCAGGGTAATATCTTGGCCCTGATTGGCGTGCCGTTCTTCTAGCCAGGCCTCACTCAACACCTCTAAGTATCCTAACATCTTATCCATCTTGGCAGAAACATCTGCCTGCGCCTGGACTTCCTGTCTACACGCTCGCACCTTCTCCACCTCTGCGGTCAACCGGTTGGCTTCCTCCCTTCTCCTCTTCTGCTCCCTTTTCATCCTGAGTTTCCATTTCAGTCTCTTCTCCTCCTCAGCCTCTTGACGTTCAAGGGGGTCCTTAATTACTTCGAGGGCCCTGGCAAACGCTTCTTTCTCTTCCGGCGGCACATACATCTGTGCCTCCTCATCTTCTTCCAACGATAAATTAGCAACCCACTCACTTATTTTCTTTTCCATCTCTGCGTCTGTGTCTTTCTTCGTGCCACTACTTCCCTCTCTGCTCTCAATCCTCGTTCTTTCTTTTTCTTCTTCTGCTGCCGCTTCCTCTTCAGCAGCCTTCTTCTTTTTCTCCATCTCCTCCTCTATTTCCTTCATCTTCGTCGCCTGTTCGTCTGCAATCGCCTTTAAGTTCGCCTGTTTCTCGCGCTCTTTCCTCTCCCTGTTCTCTTTCACTAAGGCGGCCATCTTTTCTTGCCGCTCCTTAGTATAGGGGCTCGTGTCTAACCCACTACGGGTCTCAACCATGGTGATAAGTGTACAACCGGGTTAGAGGTTCCAGACCTCACCACGTAGACTCTAACCCTTGACTGACAACCTATGACTCAATCTAAGACTCACAGAATTTTGACAGAGATCCTGCCAGCTATGGTCTCTAGCCTAGACCTATGCTATGGCTATCACTACTAGACCGTTTGCTGATCAGGAGGCATTTAAGGAGATCCCCCGTAACTCCGCAAGAACTCTTTAACGTTGCAGACAGGACGACGAGATCAGCAGGTCTTTACCTCTCGCACCGCCCACAGCTCAGCTTTTCAGGCCTACCGTGCCACACCGAGCAGCCCGCCGGTCAGTACCGGTCCTTGGGAGGGTTTGACCTCCGGGACAGTCGAGTCGTCAGACACAGTCTTTAGCCTTACTTAGTCTGACAGGGGTTTGGGTCAACAAGGCCCTCAACACTTAAGACTGCCTGTTGTTTCAGCCTGCAACTCAGTCTTTCAGGCCCACTGTACCATACCAACCGTGTCCAGCCGGTCAGCACTGGTCCTTGGGAGGGTTATGCCCCCCTGGACAGTTGGATCTGCCACAGTCTCAGCCCTACTAGATCCGGTAGGGGAGTGGTCAACCAGACCTATCCTTCATCCACAGAGTACTATCACCTAGGACAGAAGAGACTCGATCTAGAAAGAATAGACAGACTGACTTGACTCACCAAGTACCAAGGGGTGTGTGCACATTCATTGGGCAAGGGATAGGCTGAGGGCTTGGCGAGATGTTACCAACTCCAGCTTGGTCAACGCCTTGGTCAACGACCTTGGTCAACGACCTTGGTCAACGCTGCTATAGCCCCCGGTCAACTTCGGTAATCACCGGTCAACACCTCCGGTCAACCCACTTGGTCAACCCTCCGGTCAGCTATGGCTGCCGGCTCTTCTTCCTCGCCACCCTCTTCTTCTTCTTCACCTTCCTCGCCTCCTTTCACCCCGCTGTCTTCTTCCTCTCTTTCTCTTTTTTTTTTTTTTTTTTTTTTTTTTTTTTTTTTTTTTTTGGG